ATGCCTCAAAGTTTCTGCATTTTCTATCTTGAGCTTAAGGAAGAAGATGAAGAGAAATATGAAGTCTCTTTGGGAGAAGAAAATGACAAAGGGAGGGAGAAAAAGAGGAATCAACGGGTAACCTCACCCAAATTTAAAGATTTCAACCTTCTGTAAAGAAAATGGGTGAATTGCTCTCTTGATCCTCCCAAGTTTTACTCATCAATTAAAAAAAACTCATTTTCAATTCATGTTTGACTTCAACCAAACCCAAATCAAAACTCACTTGGTCCATGACATCCTACAAGGTTAATATGTTTACTTAAACTCACTCGGGTTAACTAGAAACTACTAACTCGGGATTTGGGAGTTACAAATTCCTCATAGAAAAAAAAGCAAAAATTAGATGAAAAAAAGTAAAAAAAAAAAGAATATAATTTTCTTTAAATATGTAAAAAATAGGATTTTTCCCATTTTTCTTCGTAACTATGGGATAATATAAAAACCCACTAGAAATGATTGTAAAGGGTTTTCCATTTTTTTTCCATTTTTTCCATTTTTTGGTGGGAAGCAATATAAACAGATATTTCCTTGATTCAATCATAACAAGTAATACACAAAAACATAGCCTATTTCCAAAGGTTTTCTTTATTTCCTTCCATTTTTTAGCAAGCATATTTCGGGTGGTTTTGAAACCAAAACAAAAATAGGCGACAGGGTCTTCAAACTTTTATTACAATAGCCATCGTTGCATTTTGAAGCAAGGTAAAAGTAATTGGGAGAGAGTTGAGTTTGTCACCTGGCTATTTCATGTCTATCATCGCCTCAAGTCCTCGCCGAAAGTGGAGGAGTCGATAAGCCGAATGGGTTAGAAGACTTAGATTCTTTAAGGGGTCTCGATTCATCTGTCTTAGGATTTAATCTAGGGGATTTAGAGGTCGTTTACCTTAGACCTCTAGTTTGGGTTTCAGTAAGGAATGAACAGTGACTAAGGGGTCATTAGAGCTCGCGAAGGTGAAAGGCTAGAGCTACACGGGTCTCCTTTAGGGGGTCTTTGGGGGTATTGTGTGGTAGTTTTAGGTTTAGATTCGTATTTAGGGGGCTAGATCGAGGGATTTAAAGTGTTTGATGTTGAGTTTGGAGATTTTTACCACCGCCGACGGTGGTCGGAGCGATGGTCGGTGAGCAAAAAGAGGGTCTGATGTTGGCGGCCGAGAGAAGTAATGGGAGAAGGTTAAGAGAAAAAAATAAAATAGGAATGATTTTTTCCGGTTAAGGCTAAAAATAAACCAAGACAAAAAAATTAGGCTTTAGAGTTGAATTTTCAAAGTAAACTGAGCTCATGCCCTCGAAAGTTTATCACATTTTATATTTTCGTCACTGATTTGCACCATTTTGATTATTTTTCGAATGAAGGGGCACTAATTGAGTAATTTCGCATTTTTCTTTGTTAGTTAATTAAGCTTATAATTGTTTGGGTATATCGCTTTAAATCCATCCAACTTTTTGCATGTTGCTATATACTCGTCCCTAATTGTGTTTTTTGTTTTAATTTCAACATTATAATTGACTTGTTTTTGTTTTAGTCCCTTTTTGTTTGTTTGGTTAATTAGCTCTTTTGATTCGAATTAAGGTTAAACTTTTTTTAGTTTAGATTTTTTTGTTATCATTAGGTTTTTTTATTTTAGATTCGATTAGTACTCAAATTTAAGGTTTAGATTTTAATTATAGTTTTTATTAAAAGCCTTGGTTTTTAGATTTTAATCATTTGATTTAGTTAATTCACATTTTAGTCTCTATACTATTATTTAGGTGAGTATTTCGACTTGGCTCTCGCATTAAATGTCCAAGGGTGCTTGTTGATTACTCGATTCAATAATTTGTAAAATAAATAATTGATTAATGAACCAATATAGCGCAATTAGGTTTAATAATGAATTGATTGATTGCATTTCGATTTTAAAATCAAGGCAATGTTAATTTATTAGGTGATTAACAATGTATCCTCCACCATTGCTTGCGGGTGACCACTATTAATCTCTGAAGTAAATCGACATCCTTTTTAAACTCTACATTATATTTTTTAAATTAAGGCAATGTTCATTTATTGAGATTGATAACAAAGTTTCCGCTTGTGATTGGGGGTGGTCGTTATTGGTCTTGGTAAATCGACATCGTTTTAAAAAATTTCATACATAATGAATTTTAGATTAAATACAATTTTGAACTCAAAAATTTCAGTTTCAAAAAATATGGTAATCAACTAGGTATCAATTTTGGGCATTGAGATGCTAATCCTTCACCACGTGTAACCGACTCCCGAACCTAATTTCTGATTTCTCAGACAAAAAATGGGTAGTTTTGATAAAATAAAATGTTTCATTAAATTATCTGATTTTCGCTGTTCCAATCACACCTTAAAAATGATTGATGACAACTCCAAAAAAAATTATAAACATTTTTCAAACAACATCGATAATCAATTTTCAGCCCAAAAGCCAATCATCACACCGAAGATTCAGGTTAAAGCTCGTCTTCAGATGAGGAGTGGGTTAAGGAGGCAATAAATTCGATCTTTAATCAACATAAGGAGATAAAAAAAACTTGAAGAAGATAATAAGGAGATGAAAATCGAGAAGAAGAAGAAGAAGAAGTACGAAGGCATATCAATCCAACGTAGCAAACGACTTATGGAGAGGAATGAAATAAAGAAAAATAATAGTGTAGAAATTGAGAAGAAGACAACGACGAAAAGTTGATTTTTATGTTGAAAAAATATTTTAAATATATGTATGAATTTTTGTTTAGTTCAAAGTTATTTATGAATAGTTTGCAATTATATATGAAAAGTTAAAAATAAATATGGTTAATGATGTTCATAAATTATCCAAAAAAAGGTACAACAAAAAACATTGGAACATAATTACAAAGGTTTTATCGGCCCGATCGATATTTAAAAAGATGTGGATAATGTTTCCTGTTGTGGCCTTCACCTCTGCAGTGGCCACAAAGCTTTGATAGACCTTGCTCTCTTTGAGGATCTTCCATATCAGTATGAATTCGACTAGATTTAGGTCAACCCTTTAACTTCCTTAGTAATTATGGATTTGGAAACCATTCTTCATAAATTGTTGGTGGCCAATAAGCATCGTTTGGGAGATACTTAAACTCACAATCGTATATGTTGCTCATAGTATGCATGTTATAACAATCATTGGCATAAGAGTATGATAGAAATGTTTTGGTGATATATCACTTCAATTCAGTGATATATTAAACCATTGAATGATGTTTTTGACATATTCTTTAATAAAAACATCTTTTTTTTTTCAGAGACCATTTAATGCACAATGACATAAACTTTTTAGTGATATATAATTTCAATTCAGTGATATATCACACAATTGAATGATGTCTTTAACATATTCTTTAATGAAAAACGTCATTTCTTTAAGAGATTATTTAATGCACAAGGAAATAAACTTTTCAGTGATATATCACATAATTCAATGATGTACCAGAACATTGAATGATATTGTTGACAAATGCTTTAATGAAAAATGTCTTTTTTCTCAAACACTATTTAATACACAATGATAAAAACTTTTCAATGCTCAATCACTTCATTTCAGTGATATATCATACAATTGAGTGATATTTTTAACCATATTTAATAATTCATCATACTTATCATAATTCACCATAAATTTTTCAATATTGAGGAACTTAACATTTAACGAGTCAAGTGACCGTGTATTGTAAGAGTTATTGTTTCTAATGTAATGTACGATTTAATGTTCTAATGTAATGTAGGATTTAATGTTCTAATGTAATGTTTGTATTTAATAAAATAATCAATATAACTATTGGAACTCGTCACTTCAGCATGACGAGTTTCATGTTGTTTTTTAAAATTTATTTTGAAAAACAAAACAATCTAAATTGAAAAAAAATATTATTACAATGGAATTTGCTAAAACGGCATGACGAGTTCCAAAAAAATATTAAATTATTAGACCCAACGAATTGATCCAATAAAATATATTTTTCATTAGTACTCGATATGTCGATGTGACGAGTTCTATAAAGACTATCAATTCAGCGACAAGGATAATCATTTTGACGATACCACCATGGGTAAATCTCTTAAGCTACCTCACTTAGCTTTTTTTAAGGTAAACTACGCGAATGGTCATTAATGTTTAGGTAAGTATTCGTCTTACCACTGATGTTTAAAAAATCACAAATCGATCATTAACGTTATCATTTGTTACAAAATGGTCACTAACGTTATCATTTGTTATATATTGATCACTCATCATTAACAACCATTAACAAATCATTACTGCAGTAATGGAATGCTGACGTTAAATTAGTTTACTCGGCATGTTTGACCAACCATTATTGACTTTCTTCTTCTTTCTTCTTCTTCAAATTAACCAGAATGAAAAGAAAAATGGAACTTCAATGTGTGATTTAATGATTGTATAAAAGGTAAAACACAATTAGTACATACATGGGGAACAATGGTGGAGACTGGAGATTGTAAAAGCATTTTTAAGTTTAAAAATTGATGGAGCAGTGGAGCTTACCTTTTTGTGAAGGTCAGGTGAGATTTTGTAAAGGTCTTCATCGACGGGTTTTGCAGTTGGCTTGGCCGTAGAATGGCGCTTGCTTCCATCGCTGCCGATTGTTTCACGTCACCGGCCTCTTAGCTCTACGTTCGTCTTCTTTAACATGTGTCGACTGTCGTACTTTTGTCTGCAAATTTCCATTCATGAATACTATAAATAAACCATTTACCATGTCTTTCATTTGTTGAGTTCTTAGTTTGCTTACCTTTTACGAGGAAAGACAGTCATGGCGGGAGTAACAACATTGTTCTCATAAAGATCACCGACAACATATAAAGCACGATCCTCGGGGTAGCTGTAACGAAGCAATCCGGTTTGTCTAGCCGATTCGAAACACTGAGTAAAAGGAAGGTCGTTGTTCCAGTCCCAGCTTCCAAAAGTCGGAACATGGTTCCTTCTGTAATAATCCTGAACACACACAGACAATCCCACTATGTTAACCAACAACAATGCAAAGTACAAAGAACAAAACCAAAAATGGTTACTTAAATCGCACATTAAAGTTCCCTTTTTTCCCACTCCGGTTAATTTGAAGAAGAAGAAAGTCAAACGATTAGTTAAATATGTTGAGTTAATTGGTTTAACGTGTCACGTCAGTTAGTCAAATATGTTGGGTTAATTGATTTAACGAGTCAAGTCAATATTTCGTTACTCCAATAAGGATTTATTACCGGCGAGGGACCAATTTATAACAAATGGTAACATTAATGATTTTTCAAATATCAGTAGTAAAAATGAACATTTATACAAATATTAATGACCACTGGTGTAGTTTACATTTTTTTTTACTACTTCTGTTTCCACTGATTATTCCGGGAACTCGTTGATTATTTTAGGTAAGGTTCACGGATCTCTAGCTCGTGCCGGTAAGGTGAGAGGGCAAACGCCTAAAGTGGCGAAGCAAGACAAGAAGAAGAAGCCCCGTGGCCGCGCTTACAAGAAGATGCAATACAACCGCCGTTTCGTCACCGCTGGTCATTATTCTCTCTCTCATTTCATTACGTTTTCCTTGTGGTGTTATACATATATGGGATTCGTTTGTGTATGTATTGATATCGATGAGTAATTTGTCTTAATTTCTGGGTTTTGCAGTGGTCGGATTTGGTAAAGAGAGGGGACCTAACTCTTCTGAGAAGTAAGAGGTATGCAGTTGAAGAAGGCAAGGATCGAGTTGGTTTGAATCTTCAAGGGATTAAGTCTCTGCTTACGATACTTATTTCTATTCACTGTTATCAAGGATCGAGTTAAACATCAATTTCGTTTGGCTAAAGATTATGTGATTTTGGTATTATTTAGCTTTAATTATTGGCTTACTATTTCTTCTGTTATTGGCTAAAGGTTATTGTTGGTTATGGTAATTGTCGTTTTTTTTTAAAAAATACTTAAATACATCTGGATTTCTAAAGAATTAAATGTTAAAGTATTTAATAATACTATTTTAAAATATGATCATAGTTAAAAAAATAGCTTAACATATTAACATATTTAAAATGCTATTATCTAAATAAAGCATGATTCGATCTTTGTTTTACACGTCCAAAAAAAGAATCAAGGTTGGCGATAAACGATCCAACGGATTATAAACACAATTATGAAAGTAAACACAAACATTGATTTATTATATTATAACCTTAGGTAATTATAGTTTATACTTAACAACATACATGGTTCTGCATTGATTTATTATAATACTAATTACTGAAGATTATAACCTCACATAATTAATAAACATAAGATAAGACACCATTGTCTGATTCTTGAACAAGCTGCTGCTTTTCTTAATTGATTTTGTTCTTAAGAATTTTCGTAATCTCCAATATTATAATACTACTTTCTTCTCTTATCCTGGTGGAACTATTTACAGATTAAAGAGAGCTAAATGATGAAGACGATGATTAGCTTGAGCAAGCTGACTCAGTTCACCAGGTCCGACACCCAATCTACGACCGGATTTTCGTAACACTGACCCGAGTTGACCGTCATTAAAGAGTTGTCTTTACTCAGTTTCTCAAACATTTTTGAACGCAAATGCCTTCCCGACTCGACTCGTTCCATCACAGGCTCTTCATCATCCCAGAAATCTAAGTACCCGATTCCAGGACGGGACACGTTTCGCGTCGGAGTACTAGGTAGGCTACATAAACTGGGTCGGATCGCTGCCCCTCTCGGAGACCCGAAACCAGGTGAAGGCAGAGACTTGAGTTGACCAAGCTTCATGTTCCTCAGAGAAGCGACCATGCTGTTAATAGACGGCGCAGAACAGAGAGGACCACTAGGCGAAACAGGCGGTGACGACTCAGCCGGTGAAATATCATGAGAATCAGCAAAGTTGGCGACTCTAAGCTGATCCGGTGTATGAGCAAAGAAACATACCCGACGCTGACAACTCGACCCGTCTTTGCACGGCAGAGTCCGGTAACGAGCCGGGTGGAGCCAGCTCTCGAAAACACCATGAGCGAACTCGCATGATTCCCCTTTCCGACAGTTCCCTTTCTTGAAATCGGAGCAAGATGTGCCGGAGTAATGAAACTTCCTCGGGTCCCTCCGGCGAGCTTTTTCGCCGGGATGAGCATACGGACACTCCGTCCAGTCATGCGACCGGCCACGCACGCACCTCCGTACTTTGAACTCAAACATCCGGAAATGATCGGAGGAGTAGGCATCAACGGGAGAATCCGGGTTTTCTAAACCCGAAATCTCAGAATCCGACTCCTCATCCGGTTCCTCCGACGGCAAGTAAGATTGCAGCACCGCTAAAGCTTCCTGTAGGTAAAACGGGTTGCTGTTATCGCCGAAGTGGTTGTCCGCCATTAGATCATCGTTGAGATAAGGCCAAGGCGGAATATGGACCGTTGGATTGGGATGATGGAGTTCTCGGAGCATCATATCTTTTGTTTTGACTTAAATGGCGTCCTTTGGATTTGCTTGCATAAACACCTGCAACGTCAATCGGCTTATAAAGTAGAAGTTGGTAGCGGAAAGTAGGGGGAATTTAACCATGGTTAGGTTAAATATTAACCATAGTATGTTGAAAATCAATGAGTTATAACCTTTTCCACTTTCTACTGCAATAGAACTAGGAGTTGATATAGATGGAGGAAATGTCGGAGTTACGCGAAATTTGAGATAAGCGAGGGTGAAAATTCCTTTTTGACCGCCACGTGTTTTCAGAAGTTAAATCTAACAGATAAATTATACGTGGTTCGACTATGAGATAGGTTCGAAATAGTTGGGTGATCGAGGATTTTGAAAAAGTAGTCCGGCCAGAGTTCCAAAAGCACTGGAGCTTCAGGTAAAAAAGTCAGAAATTTTGTTGTAAAAGGGAATGGACAGTCACGTGAAATTAGATGAAAAAACCCAGAATCAGTGACAGAATTTACAGACCCAAAAAGAGCAGAAGAGAAATAAAGAAAATCTAACGTACACGTGGCTGGTCATAACAGTAATAAATTCTGTCACGTACCCACAAAACACAATAGAAGCTCGCTGGACGAGGAAATTCCACTATCTCAGGCCAATTCTTCTTGTACGGACGATCTCCACGTGTCTTTTTGTCAGCATTGATTATCTTCATTTATTTACCTATTGTTTAATATTTTGCTATTGAGCGATTTATTATTTTTCATAAAAGTCACATGTGTTCAACATCAATGTTTATTTTTTTTATAGAATCAATTAATTTTATTTAAAATATAAAATATTTCGAATTAAAATAAATATTGACTATCACAATTGTAAATTAAATATATAATTAAAACAAATTATAATCATTGATACAAAACTCGTAACTTAATATCACATAATAAAAAATTAATCAAAAAACTCGAATAAGAATAGACACAAATAAATTTGATCACACAAATCACAAAAGGGGATTAAATTATTAAAAGACCACCAACAAATTATAAATCAAACTCGAACGACATGAAAAGCTATCCACAAACACAAATTAAGTATCCAAATCCAATTAGAGAGTCCAAAGCATGAAAGATCAACAAGATATCAGATAAGCGTAATCTTAATCAGTCTTGACGATATCAATTTAACCCTTAGAAAAAGATTAAAAAATGCCAAAGTACCGTAAAACATGTTAAAAGGCACAAGAAAATGTGTTATAAAGGTAGATGAAAACGTATCATACATACATACTTATTAAAAATAAAAAAATAAAAACACAATATAAGAAAAGAAAAAGATAATAAAGAATACATACGGTCGACAACTACCATTAAAGTTGATGTTGTCGTCGAACCACCATTAAAGTTGATGTTGTCGTCGATCAACAAAGACGAAAAAGAAAAAAATGAATGACACACTAATAAAAAAACTTTTATATTTAATAAAGACGTGTTTATTTTTTTTATAAAAATAATTATTAAATGTAAAAAAATATACATTCCTATTTTTATTTTTAAATCAAGATCTGTAATTGTAATATAATATGTAACATCCCAAACTATGGGTTAGTGACTAAATGGTAAAGTTTCAGAAATTTGGTGATTAAAGTAGAAGAATGGATTAGTTCAATGATTTATCTGGAAATAAATCCTAAAAGTTGTTAGTAATTATCAAATAAAGTAGAGGGCAAAATGGTCATTTGACTAATAAATGAATTAAAAATAGATATGATAAGGATTTATATGTTAGAGGGGATAAGGATGAAGAGATATTCTCTTCTTCTTCTTCTTCTTCTTCTTCTTCATGTACGAGAGAGAGAAGAGCCAAGCTTGCAAAGGTAAGATTCCTTATTAGCTGATTATTTGTTAATTTTAAGAGTGGGTTTTGATCATTAGGTAATACTTAAGCTTATGGAAAGCTTAAGTTGTCCTAAAATCAAAAGATAAAGAAGTTATGAAAGATTAAAGAAAATGAGTTTCTTAAGGAAATTCTGGAAAAGAGTTAGTAAGTGAATTTTGAGAATGAATTTGACTTGTCATCAATCTAATTAAGGAATATGGAGTGTTAGAATTAGATTTAAAACATGTTAAAAATCTGATATGATTCTTGAAGTTAATAAAGAGGAGAGGATATTAAGGTTAAAGACGAGATAATTGATTATAAATGAGTTTAAACATGTATATGAAAGTTAGGAATATGAACGGGGATGAAATATGAAGCATTTGAGTGAAGAGTTGATGATTTTCGGGTTCAAAAAGAGGTTCTGGGCAGAGTGCATCGATGCACATTCATAGTGCATCGATGCATCAAGGTTAAAACCCAGAAATTGTTTGAAGGTGTATCGATGCATTGGTAGTTCATCGATGCACTCTTTTAAAATAAAAACATCGAATGCAATTCATGCATCGATGCATAAGTAGTGCATCGATGCATACCAGTAATAATACAACATCGAATGCATTTTATGCACCAATGCATCAGTAGTGCATCGATGCATACTTTCATTGAAAGATGAAATTGTCATTTTTCTTAGTCTAAGGAGTGAACCATTAGAGTATATTAGTTATAATACTAATATAGATCTATGTATGATGATGTAGATATAGAACGTGATCCCGTTCCGGATCAATTGAAGGATTATAATCGAATCAAAGCAAAGCTAAGGTGAGTGCAATTTAATTTGTACTTATATTATTGAATAAACATTTGGCTTGCGATGAGCCAGTGATGGAGTTACTATGGTAAGAAGTAACTCCTAAAATGTTATTTGATTGGTGATCAATGTTATGATTTGTGTGATTATGAGATATATAAGTTACATGGAAAGTATATGTGAAATAAGATATAAGCTTATATGAATATGTGATATGAATAAAGCTATAAGAAATGATTTATGTGAATACATGCATTTGTGATGCGTGTTATATGATATTAGATATATGTTTACACATACATATGGTATGTGACCGAAGAGAATGAACATGTGATTATAAGATCAATGATTACACGTACATTTGGTACGTGACTGAAAAGAAAAGATATATGTTCATAAGAGAAAGGATATGAATAAGTAAATTGAACTGTTATGAATGTTAATGTCCATGTTATGTGATAAGAGAGCTAGTGGTATAGTTGGCATGCCAAGGGTCGAGGGTTTACCTATGTTCTTCGGGACATATGGACTGTTTACCTATGTTCTTCGGGACATATGGACTGTTTACCTAGGTTCTTCGGGATCTATGGACTGGTCCTTCGGGACGAATACTGAACTAAGGTTCGGTGCCCCATGAGGGAATTGATACGAGCTGTGGTGACAGCATTAGTGCACAACCTCAATGTACTCACATACTTTAAGTTCTCAAATGTATACATGGGCTAATGCAAGGGCTTTAAAGATAATAAATAACTTGTTATGATACTATATATATGCTTTGTTGTGAAATGACATGGATACTCGATGGTGAGTATAGAAAGGTTCAATATATGTTTACATGATAGAAAGAAATTAGTAATAATGATATGAGTACTGATAAGTATATTAATGATATATGTATAAGTATGCATTATGTTATATGAAATGGTTTGTGGTTTTATTATATGTTTTATATGCCTCACTAAGTCAACGACTTAGCGTGTAAGTGATTTACACGTAGGTATGGAGAGGAGTAAAGAGCGATGTGGAGTAAGACAGGTCAGTTATCCTTACTCAATGTCAGATCAGAAAAGAGGTGATTAATATGTACTTTAATATATAAAGTTCTAGTTGGCATGTATTCAAAAGAATATATTGTATAAAATCTGAATAGTTTTGTAAACGTTTTGAATAAGTTGAATATTATAAAAGTTTTTAAATTACTCAATATTTTATACGAATAAATGTTTGAAAAGTCAATGTGACACTTCGGACTCGTATCCGGGTCGGATACGGGTTGGGGGTGTTACATAATATTACTATAATCTTAATGGAAAATAAATTGTAAATTTAATAGAATTTATTTAATTAATATTTGTGAATAAATTATTTAGTAATTAAGTTAATAAAGCATTGTGTATATATATATATATAATATAAAATTATTACATTAATAGCATGAATCAAATTACTTCCGTTGTTAAAGGAAATGTTGTTTTTAAAGGTAATGTTGTTTTTAAAGGTTATGGATTTAAGTATCACTGACCAAAAAAATGATTGAGCGTTTATTACCAAATAATCTATGATGGAACGTTTATTACCAATAGTTGAGACTGTACTTAGTACAAATATTACTTTATAATTAATTTTTATCTAATAAAAAAGATATGATAAACTACATGGTTAGTACATAAACTATCAATTTTGGCCCATTTTAGTATATAAACTTTTAATTTTTTCAAAACACACTTAAAGTTTAGTTTTTATTTCATTTTAGTACTCATGTTTAAAATTTAACATTAATTTTTTAAATAAAATACAATTTTAGGTACTAAAACAAACTAAAACCGATAGTTTATGTACTAAATACGTTAAGTTTTTAACAGTGGGTATTAAAATAAAACAAAAATTAAACGTTAAATATTTTTGGATTAGTTTATATTTTAATTCATATACTATTTATTTTTGCAGATATAAGACTCAATCTTTCAAACTCTCAAAATGACGCGTATTTCAACTATTGTTTACTATGATGGAGAAATTTAGAAAGATGAAACCAACATCGTCTTCGCATCAAATCATTCTGTCAGAATATCCTTCAAGAGAAACATCACTCTTGAGGAGCTGTTCACTAAAATTTCAAGGAAGATTCATGTTGGAAGTACTAGAAGAATGTCCTGACTTCAATACAAATTTCCAAAAACAATATTTCCATTAACTTATACATCGTTCGAACTCTCCAATGATGACGATGTTGCTATGATGGTTGATTACTAGAAAAAATATTCAAGCGCCGATACACAGATGCATGCGACATTTGTTGAAGTGCCTACGGTTCGTGGTATGTCATTATGCTCCCACTATGGGCTGGCTCAACAAGCTGATAAA